CCATGTGTTGTTCTTCTCAATCATGTCCAATTCAGTTTTCATTGCACTCCTCCATGAATCATCTTTAGCTGCATCCTCATAACTTTCTGGTTCAATAACACACATGTTGCACTGAGCCATGATGTCATTGATACTTCTCCATTTCTTCGGTGTATCATCATAAGTTGGAGATCTCTCAGGCACATTCTCACTTTGAGAAACATTGTATTCTTCAAACTGAGAATTTTCATCAATCTCACAGATTTCATTAGCATTCTTATGTTCAGTGATAACTGGAAATGTCACTCCAGTATCAATATTGCAGTTCCAATCCCAAAAACTATCCTCATCAAATGTTCTCTTGAGGATCGGAACAATCTTCTTTAGGATTCATAGTTCAACAAATACACTTGTGACTGTTGTTCCAGTTTATGTCAAGGTATTGACACACAATGAGCCAAATATCTTCAAATGAGACATTCTTTGAAGCACAATCTTCAAATGGGATTGACAATTCTTCAAAGCTTTTGTAGGACACCTATCTTCAAATAGAGCAGTATTCACTGCTTCTGCCCAAAATGCATATGGAAGGTTTTTTTCATGTAGCATTGACTTTGCCATCTCCACCACAGTCCTATTCTTTCTTTCGGACACTCCATTTTGTTGAGGAGTGTAGGCCATAGTCAATTGTCTCTGAATTCCTTGTCCATTACAGTATTTGTCAAACTCTGCAGAGAGGAATTCTCCTCCTCGATCACTCCTGAGACATTTAACCTTATATCCACATTGTAACTCAGTCATTGCCTTGAACTTTTTGAAAGATTCAAACGCTTCAGACTTGTTTCTCAAAAAATACACCCATGACATCCTTGTGCAGTCATCTGTAAACAACAAAAAATATTTGTTTCCAGAATGAGACTCTACTTGCATTGGACCACAGATATCAGTATGGATCAACTCCAGTGGATCTTTAGCTCTCCAAGTCGATTGAGAAGGGAATGAGTCTCTGTGTTGTTTACCCAACATGCAACCTTCACACACACTTTGGGACATTTCTAGTTTAGGTAATCCATGCACCAACCCCTGTTCCTCAAGTACCTTGAGACTTTTCTCATTCAAATGACCCAACCTCTTATGCCATATCTGAGAACAATGTGTGATATCTGCCCTTAGTGCATACTGTGTTGCAGGCAACATTGTCAAAGGAAAACATCGATTGTTGGTCATATGTACCCTCACTACTAAATTGTCCAGTGACCATCCATCAAAAATATTCACTACATCACCTCCAAACAACAAATAATAACCGTTTTCCATCATTTGTCCTACACTTAGAAGGTTTTCCTCAAGTCCAGGAACAAGCATTACTTCTTGTATATGTTTTCTTCCCAATTTAGTTTCAATCACCAAGGTTCCCTTTCCTGCCACTTGACAAATTTCTCCAGTTCCCATCTTTACTTGGGAGGTCAAATCTCTCTGAACATTGACCAATAATCTCTCATCTCCTGTCATGTGGTTATTACAACCACTATCAATGTACCATGAGTTATTGACTTGCACATCAGTCACTGCATTGCAGGCATAAAACAGTGATCCTATTTCTCCCATTTGCTTCACATAATTAACTTTCTGCATTCCTTTATTCTCATGACAGTCTCTCATAGAATGACCTGGCTTACCACAGCCTGTGCACTTTGGTTTACCTTCATACCAACACTTCCCATAGTGCAACCTGTCACACCACTTACAATCACCCTAAGCATTGTTTTGCTTCTGGACATAATTAGGCCTATGATCCCAATTCCTTTGAGTATTGTTCTGTCTCTGAGGATAATTGGGTTTGTGATCCCAATTCCTTTGAGTATTACTCTGCTTCTGAACATGGTTTGGTTTATAATCCCAATTTTTCCCCTTGATTTCCAACTCTCTTGAGACCTTTGATTCCCCAGAATCCAACTTTTGACCTTAGAATGCACATTTAAACTAAATCAGTCACTCGAATCATCTGTTCGAATCCTCTTAGATAGAAGCTGAACCTCAATTTCAAGATCTCTAGAATGCTCAATTACAGAACAAATTGCATCATATGTTTTCGGAAGACTGATAAGTAGTTTCTGCACAATTCTCTCCCTAGATAGCTCTTCTCCATAACTTTTCATTTGATTAATAATATCAAAAAATCTAGAGAGATACACAGATAATGATTCACTATCCTTCATACGAGTATATCTCTACGTAAACCTTGCAATTTTACATTTCTTCTTACTTCGTTCGGAATTCACCTTTTAAAACATCCCAAGCTCCTTTGGATGTCTCTTCATTCACAATTCTGGGAAAAATCTGATCCGATACTGCACCTTGTATCATTCCAAGCGCACGAGCATCCTTCATCAGGATCTCACTGAACGACACTCCATCCGTCGTCTCCTTCTTCGTCTCTCATCAACCACAGCTTTCTCAGACTTCGGATCTGGTGGTTCAAACCCATTTTCTACCAGCTCCCACAAACCATACGATTTCAGTATAGTTGTCATACGAATCCTCCAAAATTCATAGTTCTCTCCATTGAAGACGGGAGCTCTAAGCTCGACATTGCCGGACCCAGCCATATGAGACTTGGATGCACGAAATCACAATTTCCAGATTCGATTGCAGCTCAAAGATGTAGCTCAATCGTACAGATTTCACGCCCATATTAGACGATGAAACCAGGCTCTGAGGCCATGTTAATGTTTGTGTGTGGTTTTAGTATGTGTTTCAATGGAGGTTGTCTTCAAAGATGGAGAGAGTTTCAGAGAGAGGAAGCTACACAAAATGTCTCTTCGAATTTCATTAACATTTTACACAATACAATCTAACCGTTATATGAAGAAGGAAGGGAGATCCTTCACTCTTCAACATACAGTACAATCTTAGCCATCCATTGCTATCATCCTATGAGATGATGCCTTGGCTTATTCCATTACTTAGGCTAGATACAAGATTAAAGTGCCATGTGGACTATGATCCAATGGCTCACATTTAAACAGAAACAAAACATAGAGACATGATTCTTGCTGCCAAGCTTCAGCTAAAGGGTTATACACCAACAACTTCAACATCTCATAAAAATATCAAATTTGACTCATCAGGTAATCAGTATTTTATATGCTTTTTTATTTTTCTGCTGTTATAGTTTTCAATGAATGTCAAGCCTCTTGATAGATTATTAATATTAATGTGTTTCCCATTCAGATGGGAACTTTGATAGTGAATTTTTCCAGCAAAACCGAAGAATCGAGTCAGTTCAGGAAGGAGTACAGCTCTGCTGTTATTTTGATTGAGTTGGTCACTTGCTCAGGATTAAGCTCTAGATATCATCTCGGAAGGTTTGGGTACTTTGAAAGATTTGGGCCATGGTATGAATGCAGTTGGTCGATGCACATAACTTTGTTTCATTGTGTTATTAGAAGAATTCAAACATTGATCATTGTTTCGATATGTTCAGGAATTGGACTGACAACTCCCACTAATTGGTGAGATAGAAACAAAAGTGTGATTTTCTTCTCTAACTAGAATCCTAATCTTTCCGGCAACACCGGTGAGAGATAGTGTTGGTAACATTTTAAGTTCATTACTTAGTGATGGAGTTTTGATGCTTTTACAGGTGGACAAGGTTACATCTGACATAAAAAGTAATAGTGTTAGGCTCAAGGAAAATCTAAACAAGGTATCTGTACGCTGACCATATTGACCAGTTTTAATTGTTGCATCATACAGGTAGGGCTCTACTAATGAGAAACTTGGTTTGTTTTGCAGGTGAGGTCGAGCTGGAATTTCTGCATTGACATTATTTTGCTTTGTATTGTTCTGGGAATCGCCTTCTATCTTAACAAGTATTCTCTCTGTCTTTTTACTTAGAAAACCTTAAAATCTAGTCCCCAAATGCTGAGAAGCTTATTTACACACAATTCCTGATGTAGAGTTAAACGTTCTGTGAAATTGGTTTCATGTTCCGGAAAATAACTCATAAGACAGTTTATGCCACATTTATTTCACGGGGTTGTCTAAGAATTGATTTTGCGTGTTCTGAATGCTTTAACATACTTTTCTTTCCTTGAATAAATGAGATATTCAACTGTTTTCTTTACTACTGCGATGAAGTTACTTTAAAAAGACTTCAGCAGCTTATCGGATCATATCTGATGTGGTATTACATTCTTCCATTTCATAAGGCTTTGCTAGCTTGTATCTCTTTAACATCTTCCGTTCAAGTACAACGTTAATTATCTAATCTGGTTTTGGCTACTTGAAGATGATTATATACAGTTTCTTGCTCATGGTGGTTCTTTCTCCCAACAATGTGGAAAATTTGTAGTTTAGATTTATTTATGTCTGTACTTGTCATTCAATGAATTTATTGAGCATCAATTTGCCTTATATAGTTTTGCAGTGCATTGTGCGATCCAAATCCATGTTGTTGAGTGCATTTTTCCTCACCCCCTAAAGTAAGTGTAATGCTCACCCCAATTTATTGCCGTTATATTAGTTTGGTGAGCATCACCTTTACTTTAGGGGGTGAGCAAATTAAGTTGCACTAGGAAAAGATTATGCTATCGAATGTCAAATTATCTTTTTGTAAATGGAAAGAATTTATAACCCAATGAAATTAAAACAAACTGAACATGTATGATAATTACTCATATCATTTAAGTATTTGACAATACTAATTTACATATTATTACACTGAAAAATGTTTATTTTCTTTCTTTTTTTCCCATCCTTGATCAAGCATGAACTTACACATTCTTATGAGGGTGGTAATAAATATTCCCAACCAGGAGAGCATTCTCCACATAAACAGAGTTAACTAGCAACAAATGTAGATTATTGAACTGGTTATATGTACTACCCAGTCTTGGAGGCCAAATCGATATCGTGCTTTGTACACCTTGTTTACACTTCATGCTGTACAGCCAGAAACTATGGCCTCCTGAATGTGTTCATTCGTCAAGGGCACTTAGCTTTCATCAAAGACTTTATTACGAGGAGTATGTAGCGAGGAAGCCCATTTCATTAAACTCCTCAAAGTTGGCTGGAACAGTTGGATTTGCTTTGGGTATGTCATTTTGCAAGTGGTTTGGAATGTAGCAGTTGACAACATTACCAGCTGCTAGTTTCTTGCTAAGCAGAACGTTCCCATCTTTGTTCTTGCTTTCTAGATTTATGAGTGGAAAGAGATTTTCTTTTGTATTTTCTTCTCTAATCTTCCTTTTTAGTGTGGAATTAATGCCCGAAGAAGAAATTGATACTGTGGATTTTACCTTATTATTTGAGCCGACTGGATAGCTATCTTTGCTCCCTTGAAAGCTCGCACTTGAGGTCTCTATCGGTGATGGAGGTTGACCGGCGAGGATGGAAGGTAATTCTCGACAGTCTTTGTATAGAAAATCTGTGATTATATCAGCACGATGGATTGGACTTGTAGGCCGTACTGTTGGCCCAGATTTTGGTAGGCACCTCCAAAATTCAGTGTTGTAGATGTCTTGAGCGTTACATGTGTTCTTTGTTGTGTTTCCTCGCTGTTGAACTCGGCATAGTACCCAATCATCCAACTGCTACAACACGAAGCATTTTTTAACGTATTGCCTCTGATCACATTGTTTTGATCAAAGTCGATGTATGAACTGCATAATTTACCGAGTCGTAGTGAAAAAAAAAACATGAAGACCACGACTTAAATAGTTAAATCAAAGCATGGTCTGAAGCAACGATTTTTAAGATTTAAAATGTTTAGTACCTCTACCATCTGTGTTTCACTTTTAAAAACACATTAGCTATAGTACAAGGCAAGATTGAGTATGTTGAATTCTGAGGGAACCTAGCTAGCTAGGCTAGCAGGAGAGTTTGATAGAGCACGAGTGACTCTAAGCAGTTTATGGGTGTGGGGTTCAACAGTTATCAGAAAGACACACGTGGATGACTGATGCTAGCATTTCAACAATATAGTACGTATTGGTTGATTAGTAAGCTTATGCCTTTAAGTGGTTTGTTCCATTTTTTGAGATACATATATATAATATGCAAACTCAGTATCTCATTCTATCGACTTACTCTCATAGAACCTTTGGATCTCGAGGGATTAACCGTACAGTCGAGCAGTCTATACTCGTTCATGATCCATTCAGTCTTAACTCCTTTAGGAGCTCGACCGGTGTAAAAGACCAAAGCCTTCTTCACTCCTATCCGCTTTGATCCACAAGAGGTGAGAATTGGCTTGTCACTTCCAGCAGCCTTCCAATAACCCAAAGCTGCTGTTCTATTAGGCCTCTCCCCATTCGGATACTTCCGGTCCCTCGGGCTGAAGAAGTACCATTCATCTTCTCCAAACAAAGCCTTGTCTGCAAAAATCAAGTAATAAAACAAACAATTCAAAAACATATACACTCGGTTATTACTGTGTAATCCAAATCGAAGGATTAACCATGGAGGAATGAAATGAGTGAATGCTTCAGTACTGACTGGGTAGCTCCCACGGATTATACTTATACAGATCGATCTCCGTGATCAACTGAGCTGGAAGTGGATGCGAAATCATTTTGTTTCGCAAGTAGTGAACGATGAGTTCTTCATCTGATGGATGGAATCTGAAACCCGGAGGCAATTGCATAGTTGAATAAGTCGTGAATGTGGGTTCTTTCTCCATGAAAGCGCAGTTTTTCCTTGGACGACGAGGGAATACAATAAGAAGCAACGATAATATCAATCTAAAACAGTTGTAGATGGAAAATGAAATGGTCTGAGAGGCAGTATATATGTGCATTTTTCATGCAGATGCGGACATTACGCGAGATGGTTAAACCAAAAAAAGTCTCACGTAATTAAATGCATGTTTCAACTCCAAAGAAAGAGACTTTCGAGACGGCTACCTGTTTGGATTATTATGTTGGAATTAAATTCTTCGACCAACCTTCTTGGATAATATTGTACGGTCCTCAGGCCCTGGAGCTAATTAACATTAATTTAACTCATCAAAATAAGTTTTGGTTGAGTAGGGGTTTCAGTAAAGTGCAGGTTTCCATGTAATTTACCCTAGTTAAGACAAAGTTATGACAGGTAATTTACATGTGGGGTTTTGCATGGAAAATTTCATGTGAATAACTCTTTAGATTAATCATAAGAAGGAGAGTTCTCCTGGATTTTACTGAGTTTGGGTAATTATATATATGTCTCAAGTATATAGGTGAATAATGTAGCATATTTTGATTCGCTTTTGGAACAAAATCTAATGGTTGGCTGAGGCTCGATTATAACAGCTTAAACTATTAGGATCAACGCGTTTGGTGTATAAGCTGCAACTGTAGGAGAGATTTTTTAGTGTGACCATCACACGAAGTGGTACACCATGTGTCACTATACAAATGGTGGGATATGTGTGTTAAAAAGTAAATAATTTAAAAAATAAAAAATTTCACCATTTACATAAAAACACATGGTATACCATCCGTATTCCCGTCACAATGAAATTTTTTCCCATCTGTAGTAAGCTGAATTTAACTTGTTAAACCCTAGTGGTCAAAATGCAATCACACTCCCATATTTAAAATAGGTAAATAATGGTTGGCTCACGTCCAAACAACTAGTTTCTTATCTTTCACTCGGAGAGGGCGAGTCATCAGTACGGCTGCCGCATATGACAACACACACTTACATCCAACTCATATCATGAATGTTGTCTAATGAGACAACCGTAATCAAACGAATATCACCATGTTGGTGGTTGTTTAATTACTCTCTTGGAATAACTTGTTGAGATTTTTTGTTTATTGCTTGGGGTCACGGCGGTGAAAACACTATTTCCCATATGTTTCGAACCCAATTGTGCTCCAAATTGGCTGGACTCTGGCTGGACTTGATCGGATTATGACAAAACATTATTAGATTGTCACTGCATGCAACATTGTGGTTCTAAATCTTTTGAATCGGATTATGAATAGATTCTCTTAACACTTCTATGCTTTTAACAACATAGTTTTCTCCGTATCAAGCTTTATGGATATTAACCATAGTCATTAGTGATGACATGGTTACTTAGTAATGAAGAATATAGTTAGTTGAAATGTGTTGGTAGGTTGTCATAAGGATAAGATTGGTTAGTATAGTTAGAAGGGTATTATTGTAATTAGGTTATATGACTATATAAGGGATTGTATAGCTATCATTTCCTTAAGTTCATTTTGTATACATTTTCTCTATTCAATCAATACAATCTTTCTTGTTTCTCTCTACCAATTCTTTCTCTTCCTCTGTACCAATTTCATCTTTTACAATGTAGTTAATATGGTATCAGAGCCACCAGGCTTACGCCATTGATTCTGGTGATTCCGTAATTTTTTTTCATTAGTTTCATTTTTTTTCTCTTCCGTTAATTTCCTTAGTGTTTCCGCAATTGTTCCATAACTTCTGGGTTGTGAACAATATATTCCGATAAGGTTTTTCTGGGTTGTGAATTGAGATGTCGGATCACAGATCGTAGTCAGGGAATTCTTTGGAGTGTTGTTTGGAGTGACGGGTCGTGGTGTACACAAGAAGCCTCCAGACAGACGTAGACTCACTTCTTCACCTCTTTGCTTGACCTCTGTCGCAGCTTCCATGGCAGATTATGGCCGCGCTGATGAAGATGAAAATTCTGATCCCTCTGAAACCATTTGCTGTAAATTTTTCAGACGAATCGGTTCATCGCCAGATGGGTCTTCAGCGACAGTGCAATCACCTCCGCATCTGGATCTGGCATTCCTGATTTGGGATGTTGTCAGTTTCAAGATCATGCCAAGGAAGACGAAGGACCAGAACGTGAGCTTGGCGAGCGAGCCGTGCCAGCGGAGGTGGTATTCCAAGATACGACGACGTTTGGGTTTTGTTTAGTTGCTCTTGCTCGACTCGATCGTCTTAGAATTTCTCTTCTACGTTGCTGATTGGAAAGTGGAATCTTGGATTCTGTCAGATATGTTCTTGGCTCTGCAGCTTCTCTGTTTGAGTATGGCCGACGATGGAGTCTCCAAGCTTCCTATTGTAAGTCCAACTATCGGAAAATTGTTGGTGATGTCAGTCAGTGCAGACCAGTCTTCTTGTTGCTTCCCATTTCTTAGTCTTGATTTCGACGTCGATAAATGGATTTCTTATGATTCTTGTTAGCTGCAGTCAAGGTGTATGACAAATTGCCCAGCTCAGAATTTTCACGAGAAGGATCTGTAGATTTTGGTTGTTGTATTTCTTTGTTTCTTCAATTCTGCACATAAGGTGTTTGTGTTTCTAATGATCTGGTGAAGACTTCCACTGGTTTGGGTGTTTGGTGTTCTGAAACGGCGTTGTATGGGTGTTTGGAGATTTGGTGGTGCGATTTTGGTAAATCAGGTGAATTCGTTTACTGGTTTTGTTTGATGCTTATTTCTTGAAGATGTGGTCTTTATGTACTTTTGAGATTTAATTGAAGTGAAGATGTGGTCTTGATGTGTTGATTTCTGCAAAGTATTAGTTTTCTGTATATTTCCTGCGAGTATCATTCTCTAAGGCTTGTCGATTTAAAGAAGAAAGTGTCATTCTTTCTATGAATCTTGGAGTTTCATTCTCCTACGTTGCAGTATGATTTGGAGTTTCATTCTCCTAAGTTGCAGTATGATTTGGAGTTTCATTCTCCTAAGTTGCAGTATGATTTGTGTTCATGGAGTGTCAGTCTCCTTATTTGGTATTTTTAGTAGAAGTGTGAGATTTGTGTTGTGCTTTGGAGTGTCATTCTCTTTGGCTGATTTGGTTTCTTGGAGTGTCATTCTCCTTGGTAGATTTAGTTTCTTGGAGTGTCATTCTCCATGGTAGTTTAGTTTCTTGGGAGTGTCATTCTCCTTGGTAGATTTAGTTTCTTGGCAGTGTCAACTATGGATTCTCAGTTCACAGTCGAAAATTTGTTGGGTATGTTCAGACCAAGACCACGAAGCACAACTCTTTCTCCCGCAACCATCATGTACTTTGGAACATCATGTGCCATCACAGAACCACCACCAATAAATGAGAAATAGCCAACATGGCAGAATTGATGAACAACAACAGCCCCTGCAGTGTGAGCATAATCTTCCACCACAACATGGCCTGCCAACAATGTATTATATGATGTTGTTTCCGATCTTGCAATCGTGGGCAATATGACAAGATCCCATGATAAGATTGTTATTCCCAATAGTTGTTATATCACTCGACTTCGAAGATCGGTGGATCGAAGTATAGTTTCTTGCATTATACAAGAGCCGTTGCAGGAGTGATTGACAAAGAAGAAGAAGTTGGGTGTGGAGAGAAGAAGAGTTTTCTTGTGGCGCAATTTTCAAGGGGAAAGGCAGTAATTGGCACATGATGGTATTCATTTGTTTGGGGTTTTCTGCAGTGTTCTTGAAGCATTGCAAACATCTTGGTCTTGCAGTTCCAAATCAGTTTCAACGTTCTAGCTCATTCAACCTTCACTTGGCTACACCAAGTTCAGTTTGAGGGGGGAGTATTAACCATAGTCATTAGTGATGACATGGTTACTTAGTAATGAAGAATATAGTTAGTTGAAATGTGTTGGTAGGTTGTCATAAGGATAAGATTGGTTAGTATAGTTAGAAGGGTATTATTATAATTAGGTTATATGGCTATATAAGGGATTGTATAGCTATCATTTCCTTAAGTTCATTTTGTATACATTTTCTCTATTCAATCAATACAATCTTTCTTGTTTCTCTCTACCAATTCTTTCTCTTCCTCTGTACCAATTTCATCTTTTACAATGTAGTTAATAATGGAGACGTGTCCACTTTATGTCAAGGACATAGTAATGCCACCAACATAAACACTAAACAGTATGTTTCTGCCAGTAAAATATTTCCTTGTTCGCAGATGTGATTTGGGCGTCTTACTCTCTAGCCTATATTCATATAGTACATGGTGATGTTGATCATGAGTGCGAGCTAATGTAATAATCATGCAATTTGGAGTTGGTTCGATCCTCCACAACTCGACTACTTCCATGATGAATCTTACAGAATTGAGAATGAGTACGTAAATTTGCCAATCTTTTTTCTTAATTTTTTGTGAGTTCTAAATTGGATTAAAATTATTGTTGAAAAATTGATGTTGTTGAGATATCTATGTGTTTACTTTAATCGACTTTGTTTTAGAATTAAAACATAAATTTTAAGTTTGGATTCTCTTATTAGGTTTCATTTTAATTTATGACCTAATCTTTAACACATATGTGTTTTCTCTCATACACTAAAATAAATTTTGTAGCCATTGGTTTATCTAATCACTTGTCACTTTTATCGATTAATGATGTTGAGATATTATTCCTTATAATCCTAATTTTGATACATATAGATTGGTTTATTATGTCCAAACCAACTATTTTGTGACTCAACAAATTTATTTAAGAAATTTTCGTGTTTTGAGCATATTAAAGATTGTAAATTGGTTTTATTTAAATTATGATTAAATCTGAAATTTTGGTGGAGCTTGGGAAATATTGATGAAGTTTTGCATACCTTGCAACGTGTCCTATTTGATTACAATTTTGATAGATTTTTCTAACTCTAAACTTTTTAAAAATTTGCCATGTTATATTATATAATGGATTGTGTACACTAT